AAATAAAATAAAATATGAATTCGACACATTTACTGGCTGTATTTATGAATGACGATATTTTGATCAAATATATAGTATAATAGTTATCATGGCTCACTATTTCTTCTGTCTTTATAGGCATGAATTTATGATAATTATTGTTCAAAAAAGATCACCACCTTAGTTGCAGCTTATTGAATTTTTAAACTTAGTAAATTAAATTATTTTGTATCATAATTATAATTTTTACTTCCGTCATTAATTAATTGGTTTAAGAAAAAAATATTTATTTGTGGGAAAACTTTCCCTTGTACAATAAAGTTTATCTTAAGAGCGTTCATGTTCCAAATAAATTAAGACCCTATTTTGGATACTCTGTAAAACGAGAACTAAATAGCAATGTACGAACAGTGTTAATTTAGTTTTGATGAATGATGCAATAGATTCTGCAGACATTTTATTTGTGTCTCGCACTATAAAAACATATTTATCTTTATATTTGTACCAGAATATTTATGTCGATGTGGGCAAAGCATACAATGTTGCCTTTTAAATTTTGGGCAATTCAAAATAAAGTAATTTAAACATTATTTTTTTACTAAAATGCCTTGCCCTCCTGAACGAGTACGGGTAATGAGATCCATTAATAATAAAATAAAAACAGTAAAAATAAATGTTTTTTATACTAATAAATAATAAAATATTATAAATGACAGTCCCTACCTATATATATTGCATGTATAGATTTTAAATGCAGAAAAACATAAACATTTTTCAATTTGAAATGCCTTAATTGCAATCCATGTTTTTTTTTAATAAACAGAAAAAACTCATTTAAGTGATAAAATGATGATGAAAAAATAATAATTATAGCAGTGTAATTTTTAAAATTATGTATGAAGTATATTATACATGATATTAATAAATAATTATGATTTTTTATTGAAACGCTTATTAATCCAACTTACAGACTACAGTGGCCAACAGTTATGTTAAACAGAGTGAATGTAATTTAATATTGTATAGTCATATTATATAGATACCAAAATATTGACAAGTTCAGAAAAACGAATCAACAATCATCCATACTAAAAAGTTAGTGTTTAAAATTATAATGCGCATACTAGATAAATACAAATTAATATACCAGCAACATAAATATAATTTATTTGTAAAGTTTAAACGAGTCTAAAGTTGTAGAGGAACGTATACAAACTTTAATAATATAATGTTAGGATTGCCAATAAAAATAATGATAAGTTGGTACAAAGACTTTCTAAATAACTCGAATAAATTAATGCAAAAGTTGATGTAGTTTTACTCATACCAACTAAATAATGTATTATTTCAAACAGTTAGTCACTTGAATAGCTGAAAGTCAAATGTAAAAAGCTTCTAATGAAAACAACGGTCCAGTGACAACATTCTACCAAAAAGAATAAATGTTCGAAAAAAAATGTCTTCAACAATAAATGAATAAATTGTATGGATTTTAAAGCAATGATATTTTTCTTGAAATAAATGATAATACATCCAGCCTTTATACACACTCTTAAAACAAAAACTGAAATTAAAAAAAATAAAATCAGACCAGACTTTTTTAAATAAATTATTAGAAATGTTATTTTCATCTAATCATTACGTTAGGGTTTGGCTTTTTTTCAAACCATTTTCAACATGGACTATGGAGTTTGATTATAGTATTTTTTTTTAAATTTTAAATATATTTAAATACCTACACAAAGAAACTTACAATTCAGTATGCGATCACATAGTATACTTTCAATATACCATTTTAGGTTGTTGCTTAGTTACGAGGTTATATAGAAAAAATGTTTTAAGCGAAAAACAACTTCAAAAGCTACAGTGATAGTTGAGAAAACAAATTTATGCACAATAAAAAAAAATTTATTTTCAGTATTTTCAGTAGTGTTTTTATTATTATTGTATATTTTGTTATAATAATTGTTAATATAAAAAAAGTTATTACGTTTTAAAATCCATTAGTTTAATGTTTTTTAACCTTAAATACAATTTTTTTTATAAAAGCTTAATAAATATCAAGGTTAAGACTTTACAAATATTGTCTTATATATAAGTATCTATGTGTATATACATTTGATTTCTCAACAACTATGAACAGTAACCAGGGTGACTCCTTTTCATGTAAGTACAAACAATTTGGACAAACAATTTATATGACGTCCTGTCGATAATATAAAATTTGTTATCTAAAAAAATATACTTTAGATTTTAGATTCTGAGCAGAGCAATATATGTATTGATTTTACAATGATGTGTGATTTTTTATTTTTGGTTTTGTTATGACCTTTTGGAGTAGTAAAAATGCTTCAATTTTCTATTTTAAGGATGGTTTTCGGCAGAAAATTGGATCTAGTTTATCTTCGAGGAAGTCAAAAGTAAAAATTCAAAGATATTTTCAAAATTATCCGGAAAAATAGGAAAAACCGGTTTCCACTCTCCCTCTTAAAAAAAAAAGTTTTCTGTTGTAATTTATCAGAGCAATTTTCTTTTAACTATTTTGAATTTGGTTTGAAAAGCATTTTTTATATTACTGATTTTAGTAAATTAGGTATTAAAGATCATAATATTATATTGGGACTTTATGCAGAATTTTTCAAATCAATATGTTCACAATGTAGTAATATTCAAGTTACTCTGTTAGTCCAATAAAACAAATCATTTTATAGGAATATGCATACATATTTTATATTTTTAGTATTTTTTTCGAAATTCGGAAAAATACTGCCTATGAGACTTTTCTTTTATGTATCAATTGAAAGTAAAATATATCGCCAGTGACACCTGTCTATTATAAGTGGGTATAAGATTCTCCCCCTTCCCCCCATATAGTTCACTTTGAATTTGAGAGCATTTATCGTTTGATTTACGTTATGTTCACTAAATACTGATATTGGCTCTCGGGTATGAAAAATGACAGGTTTTGGCAATTGCTCCACAGCAAGCTCGCGTGTGCGCTCCCCGGATGTTATCTGCAGCCAATAAACTACTTATCTTACGTCGAGAGTTTCAAGAAGGCATACAATGTGATCCATTTAAGTTTCTACACCCATTGTTCCAAAAAATTTTAATATTTTTGAAATATTTTATTACATAAATTGATGTTTTTAAAAACCAATGATAAAATATACTTTATCGCCAACATTTTTTTTATTTTTTACGTCTTTATAAGATGCCATTGACTTTTAATCTTACTTTCAGAATTATAGTATTATTCAGAGTATTTTGATTCATATAAATTAAATATTGAACTAGTTCGTTAATTAGTTAGGCATAAATAGATATATTTTAATGTTTATTATGAGCGGAGTATTATAGTAAGGTGCATTTCACAGTGGCATTCCACAATATATTGATACTCTATTTGCTCATCTAAACTTTAAATCCTTGGAACTAATATTAACCACTTGCTCGAAATCTGATTTTTGTGGATCAAGGTAGGAACTCTGAAAAGAATTTTTCTTCAAGAAATAAAAATAAAAAAGTATGGAACTATTCAAAAAAGTAAAAAAAAATTATAAAGTTGAAAGATATGTTTTTTTAAGTTGTTTTTTAAAATGACATAACAATGTGTTGAAAAATATTTTCAAAACTTCGTTTTTGCTTGAAAATAGTACGTGATTAACATTATAAGGACCACCCTGTAAGTATATGGGCAGGTACTTATGAAACGGCGCAAACAAACAAAAACCAAATAATGTATGTGTCAACCGGCAAATATCGCCAATATATATATATTTATACTCACTTCCTGCTCGGATCTCGTTTTCACTTAGTCTCTAAACTTCAAACACTCCAAAACTCAGTCTTGCTAATATGCATTTTCGAGAAGGATCGTTATCTGCATAGAATTGTAAAATATATTTTGAAAGTGTTGTTCGTCTACAATTGTTTTTTTCCCGTTATTAATTTTTATTTAAATCCAGAATTGCGAGGGTAAAGTGAACAAAAAATTTGATTTAAAAAAAACCGGTGGCCGTGTTCTGCTGCGTGTTAGCTGTTATTAAACTATCATTTTTATTATACTATAATTATGAACATGATATGTTGATATTGTATTCAAAACAATTATTCTTATTTGAAATCTTTGTGGAATTTTTGAACAATACTATTCTCGCGTACTTAACATTTCATTTTAACACAGTTTGATTTCAAATTTCACAAATTCCGCAATTATGTAAACAATTTTATCGAATTTTCAGACATTGAACAACTAAGTATTTTCTTTTCATCCAACATTACTTTTTAATTTATCCAATCACTTATGGTCAATGTCTATAATAATGAATACAATGCATTATAATTTATAAAATATTCACTTTGTCAAATTTTTAATAATAAAATCTCATTTAGTTCTTTTTCTTTTTTTTTACATTCATCCAAAATACGAGTCCTTAATGAAATACAAGTCCTTGGATGTAATATTTTAAGCTTATTCCACGTTGTTTACACTATTATATTTTTCTTCATATTTAGTCAAATATATGAAGTAAGTTACATTTATTTCAATTTCCTTTGCAATTGCATTAATCTTTTGCCTCAGAACTATGCTGTCAAGATAATTATCCTATATAATTAAATTATAAGAAAATGTACATTGTACCTACAGATAAGTTAAATTAAAAATTAAACTAACATTCATTTTCCATTTTATATTAATCAGCCGTTTTAAATTAAATACAATTTTAAATATTGTAATTTTGTAAGAAATAAATATATATATATTATGTGTGAATACATTTCGATTTAATATATTGGATCAATTTATTATATTATGAAATAATACACGTCGGATTGTGATAGGTAGTAATACCACAGGTCTTAAGCAAATTAACTTTTTAAGATACATATTTTTTATGTGGCGAAAAAAAATATCCGATCTACCAATCTTAGCTAATAATAAACACATTATTTTGCCACCGAATAAGCCGTCTCCCTTATATATAATAGCTCACCGCATTAATATAAAGATGAATTACCTGCTGAACAGCTCAATGTTGAAAAACACGTATTCTCCACTATCAATCATGTTGAGTTCTTCGGCGGCCAACAGTATTTCCCTGACCGTTAACGGATTGGCACACACCACCATAACTGAAACAGAAAGGATTACTGAAATTTCACCATGATTGAAAATCCGCTTCCGGACGTATGTATACAATGAAATGCTGCTGCTGCTGTCAAGAAGAGTGGTTGTTCATTATTATTGAAAAACGTAGATTTTTTTATATTGTTGGTTGGCTTATTTTATTAATTTGTACGAACTTAAAATTCCACAACACTTTACGGAGCATATAATATCCGTGTCAATATAATATACGTGATAATATACTCATGGAGTTTAATATATTATATAGTATCATATTTATTCAGTGACGGAATTAGGTTGCCCGAGGCTGGTGGATAAAATGTGCAGAGTCCCCCTCTAAGTTTTTTTTTTTACAAAACTGTATTTTTCACCATTATAATTTTTGAAATACCTTTCATAATAGGTACCTACATCTCACATTATAAATTATAATTTATAGTAGATTAACTATCCATAGGTATTATTTAATGTGCTTTTATGTTTTATATATTATGAGAAACGCATTTTTTTTGTAGTTCAGATGATCTTGTTTCGCTTGTTCTCAATAAATCTTATACAAAATATATACCGTTTATAGCACATTTACAAAAATTATTTTTATGAGTTTTAATATAAACTACAATAGGGTATTTTTTAATTGTTTGAAAACTATCATAGTTTTCAAAGTTGTAGCTAGGAATATTATGAAGTTGAGAGGTATTCAAGAATATTTTCAGACAAACAAATGTAGGTACGCAATTGAATCAATTAGCTAGTAAAGGTATACATGTACTTTGTAAGAGAAAAAAAATGATAAAATTTAAAAAAAATTATGTTTAAAAAAGTAAAAGTATTTAATTTAGAATTTTACGTTTTTTTACATTTTAAAAGGACTTCGCGTGAGAGTATATGAAGTCATTACTTGTATTGAAAAAAAGGAAAACCGAGGACAAAATATAGTTCAACGGCAAGACTCCGACAGAAAGTGAGTCCAATACTGCAAGCGCAGTTTAACTGTTTGATTCAAATTTTGAGGTCATAAGCTCGGCTAATACAAACAATAGTTAATACAAATATGAAGAATTGCCACTATAATTATTTTGAGTTTTTTTTACATCTGCATGGAATATAACTTACTCCCTTCCTTCATGCAGCTCTTGTCAACAACATTCTATAGATATTAGCAGTTAAACCATGTGCTAAGTTGAACAAAATGGTATCATTCATTGACAAGTCTGTTTTAAATTGCATCCTCCGCACAAATATTAAATAGTGAATAACATTAATTTTTACTAGAATTTAATATCAAAAATCAAAAAATACCATTAATTTATTTATTATTATTATGAAAATAAAAATAGGTACCACAGAATGCTCTAATTCATGGCTACATAAAATATATTTCATAATATTATGCAAAATAACAGACATTTTTATATAGTTCGTATACAGCACTATTTTATTTACAGTTGCAACTCGTGTATCGTAAGACCATCCACTCATGTATGATATAATTTAATGAATAAAAACAATAGTATTTGTTAAATATCCAAAGAATGAACCAAAAATACGTCTGTCGTTATCATTTAATGTTCGACATTGTTATTGCGCAATATAGATTTAAAAGTTTAACAGTTTAAAAGTAGATAAAAAACATCTACTTAAACATAGATAATAATAATATGTCCATAGCTGTAGATATATTAAACATTATCATAGAAGTCACAGATTAGTAGGTTATATTGTAGTAGTTTTTATGTAGATTAAATTCAAATTGCTCATAACTACAGGCCAATATCCTGAAAGATAAAAAAAATTATTATCCATTAGCGGTCAACCATTCAAGTCCCATAGACGTCTGAGACCTACGGAAAGTTCCACATATAACAGGCACCTACCTAGGTTTAGGTTTAATTATAAATATAGATAATATCGATATTCATAAATATTGAGTACAAAAGAGATTTTATTTTAATTCTAATTGATTCAAAAATTATTGAATGACAAACACTCCTCCCTGTATGTTAACCAATATAGGTTGTAGACTGCAGTGTCTCCCGTCTTCATCATTAAAAATCATGTTTAAATAACATAAGCACTGGAGTTGACAGGTAGGTGTATATCAGAGAGAATTTAACACGTCGTTCACGTACAAGCACATAATGTGCTTTATAAAGTTTTCCCTGACAGAATCAGAGACATTTCAAAGTGCTATATTACGAAAAATGTAGAACGCAACGCATAAGTGGTTCTTAAAAGTTTTAAAGTTTACATTGTAAAGTCAACGTATTTTTAAATCTATACACAAACGGCTAAAGGAGAAGAGATTTTTTTATTGAATTCCTAATACATATCAAAGTAAGAACAAAACGGTTGTTGAGCATGCTTGTATCGAGCAGCATTCGATTCAAACCCCTTTGTAGACTATTCAATACATTTATTCTGAAAACCACAATTTTAAAGGGTTTTTTTTCAATTAAAACACTGTATAATTATTGAAAATCTATACTTTTTTAAACTCGTAATTCGTAAACAATTTTGAAGAACAAACATTTGTATTTAACTTAGGTGTATTATGTTTCTGTAAACATCGATTTATTTTAATTGAGCTTAAATCGATATGGCCAATCAATTTATTTATTTTTTCATAAGATTAAAAACATTAAATTAAATTATAATCAATTTAAGAATTTAAGTTTTTCGAAAGAAATGTTCATCATAATATAAAGTCTAAAAATACATTGCGAGAAATGTATTGAATTAATTGTTTGGATTGAAACGATTCGATTTCTAGGCTTCTAATATTATAATAGCAATACATTTAAATGTTGTAGGTAAAATGTGTTGGACGAGATTGTACTGTTGAAACTGGTATTATAGTTGTGTAAGCTATAAGATGTTAAATATTCAGTTATTCAGTGCAAATGTAGTTCTTCAAACGTGAAGTGAACTTTAGAAAATTGAAGAGAAAATACAATGCTATATAGGAGGGTACCGGGCACTACATCCCTACGACCCTACCTTGCCATGAGCATAATAATAATAATATCCTAGACGATATGCTTTGCGACGCTAATCTAACGGGAGTGATAATTGAGTTTGACCCACCGCCTCATATTAGTAGGTAAATCATCGGGGGGTTTTTTTTGGGGGGGGGGAAGATGGTGGTGGGTTTCGGTATTTATATTTTTTTGACATCGGCCATTTTATATAATATGGATTAAACACAGTCAGTGGTCTGTTCTCGACACTGTAACAGTTACTTAGCTAAGTGTTCCTGACAGGAGCGACCGGGCTATAATGAACTAATTCGTTGACCTTTGCCTAGTTTACCAGGTGGGGCTAGCTTCGAACTTATAGTGACACATATAGTCACTTAACAGCCTCGCGTAGTATTATGTATACAATGCAATTATTATTGTCTTTCACGCGTCATAATAACAATAAATAATATAATGTATATTACACGTAATAACCACGGTGGTATAGTAACCGAATTGCCGAAAATCTCACAATAAATCTTACGGTATTGGCAATATAGGCTATATTTAATATCGTATGTATATGAATATATGATACGGCGTCATATTGTATTGGATGTAATAAATACGATAAGTTGGCTCATTCTCAAAAAAAAAAAACCGATTTAAATGTACAAATGCACACTTTATCACAAGGGCGCGAACTAGGATAGTCTGCTTCTGCAGTAGTTGGCGTTTATCTTTCAACCATCAAATCCAATTAAACACAATAATTATAGTTGAATGAGCTACGGCATGTGATCGTTGTTACAATTATTACACTAGTGAGGCTTCAAACGGTTTACACTTATCCTCTGTCCACCGTGATGTACGTAGCACAAAACAATTCAGACGTTTGAAACGCACTCAATTAAATGCTCGCTCAAGTATCAAAAGAACACGAATTAGACGACCTTTGCGTCAACAAGCGACTTTGTGTATAACGTACCGTTAAGTATTCAAACGGTTGAAATCCAACATAGACGAACTTATGCGCGTACTACAGCCCATCTCCACTTTGATATATACATATATATATATTTAAGTTGGTACAAGCGCATGATAATATAAATTATAAGACAACAAAAACAAATAAATATACAGTTTCTGCGACATTTAGCAAACGGTATTTACAAAAATAAAACGCTCTCTACTGTGTTTAACTATTTATTATTATCATAATATTCTACTATAGTGTTTACTCTTAAAAATATTTCGTTTACTCTGAGATAGTAAGAAGTTACAGTTTGTTGAGTATGTGGAGTTCCCCTCTAAATTCAGTTACGTGTTGCTAAAATAGCTTGTTAAGTAGTGCATATTTTACACCTAATAATATCCGTTGTTTAAACAGTTTTAAACCATAAACATATACCTCATACAAAGTATATTCTCTATTTATTTATTCATTGTGAGACAATTATCTCGACTTCCACTTAACCTAATGCTCGCAATTAACTTAAACATTTTAAATTTTTTGTTCAAATATAAAACCAATTTGTAATAGATGGTTTATTGTTGAACCGTCTGTCGTTTTCTAGTGTCATGATATTATTAAAACACTTAAAAATTGGAAATCATAAGAATGTATTTAAAATTCCAAAATACAAAATATTTAATATCTATCGTTTGATATACCTACCAACGGGGACCTCAAAAAATAGAGGAATCTAATTTTTAGTCACGTGCTGGCTATAAATTATCCTCATTGAAATAAAATATAACTCAGTTTTTAAAGAGGTATTAAGTTGTAATGTACACCCATTAATCAATAATCGATTGTAAAAAGACGCATAATCCATATACTAAATACCTATTATAATATTGTTGTTTATTGAAATAATATATTTTATATACATATGTAGTTCACATTGTTAGAATAAATAAACAAATGGCTTAATGCATTATGTACTACCATTTAATTAATGTTCAATAATAGTTTCATTTTGGAAACTATACACGACGAAAACTTAAATGCAATATAATTTAACCTTCATAACCGACTTTAC